TGTGTGCCTGTGTGTGCTGATAGACAAGGCTTGGACTACTATTCGCTCACATTTTGAAATTGTGACGAGGGAATTGCGTATAAAACGGAAATTAATACTGGAATGAAATAAACATTGAATTTTGTAGGAAAATAGAAAAGATAAAATAAATAAGAATAAAAAAATTAATTCAATATTTTTTAACAAACTGTCTGCTGCCTGACCATAAGTGAAATTAAGAAAAAATGAATAAAACGTATGTTAAACATATAATTTTCAGCAGGGCGGATATGTACGGATTTTTATTGTTACCATTTAATTTTTAATAACATTTGCATGGGTTTTATACGTTATTATGTACAAATTTATTATATTGTTACATAATTGCTGCGCAACAATATGTTTACTAAAAATCATAAAAACGAGAAATGTTATAATAAAGAAGAGCCACAAAAAACACACGCACACACACACACACGGGCGCGTCAAACATATACATGCATCTATTTATTTATGTTTGTTAATCGAGGGACCAACTTTACGTTGATCGTTTTGTTATTGTTGTTGTTGTTGTTGTTGTTGTTGCTGTTATATTCCATTCATTTATTTATTTTTTTCTCTCTTACTTTGCGCAAATAACAACAGCACTTAAACTTTAATGCGAAACACTTACTATTTTGTTGCTGTTGTTGTCGTCGTAGTTGGTTTTTAAGCTTTTGTTGTTGAAGCTAAAGAAATAAACAAAAAAAAAAAAAAAATCATGTAAACATAAATGAAATTTAAATTTTATGGTCACATTACAACGCTTCATATTATAGTTATTAGCAAGGATTGACTTGAGTACAAAAAAAAAAGAAAAAAGAAAAAAAGCAAGCATTAATGCAGCTAAATATGTATGGACGTCTTCATTCAACTCGGAACAACATGCATGAACTCAATGTTTAACAAGTTAACAAAAATAATAGAGAGTTTCATATACATTTACTACTAGTAGTTGTGTTAGTAGCAGCAGTGAAACCCGTACTAGAAATAATAGCAGAATAATAGCAGAATAATATTAGTGTAGAGTGGTGGAGTGCAATATGATGTAATGCGAGATCTGCGAGATGAGTGCGCGCAAAAAGTTGTTCTTATGAAATGCAGAATTTGTATACATATTCATGCACTTATGTCGGTGATATACATATATATTTATATATGTATGCGTTACATAAATAGTAGAGACTAAATAGAAAATCGTGTTAATATTCGTAGTTTTTTAAAAGCAACAACAAAAACTCTTTTTTTTTTTTTAGTTTATAACAAAAACAAAACAAAAATAAATAAATGGTGTACACATTAGAGACTCCATCACTAGGGAGAGCTTATAACGTCCGAGAGAAAATAAATTTAGATGTATGTGTGTGCGTGTTTGTCCTTTAGTGTTTGTACACCAGCAAAGTTGTTTTTCGTTTATATTTATTTGTTTTTTTTTTTTTTTTCGTTTTCACCGTTTTATATAAAGTTTTGAAGTACATGAATGAATACAAGTATACGATATGCTCGGTCATCAAGAGTATTCCCTATATGACGGTTATTAAGGTTTCAAAGGACATTAAAAAAACCTTGTTTATGTCTATTCACTAGGTTCTGTTAAGCGGTTGAGATTTTGGTTGGACTTTTTAGGTATAATCGAAGGTTAACATAATGTATCGGTCAATAATTCCCAGGACTGACACATATTTGGCATATCTATCACGCTAAGATAATGTCGCAGATTTAACCTTGCATTGCATGTATTGAAAATAGGATTGTTTGGAGATTAGGATAATCACCAATAATCGAACCATTTCTTAGGAGATTGCCCGAAATAATAACTGAACACAATTATCATCACCGTGTGCTATCAAGTTGTTGAGAATATATATGCTAAACAACCAGACTTCGTGTTTAGCTGCAAACTATGGCAGTTGACCAAAGCAAAGCCATGGTGCTCAATGGTGTCTTAACAGTTGTCAGACAAAAAATATCAAATCAAAATTATCATTTGATTTATACACTAATTATCTGATTAGATTCAGTCATATCTCAATGTATGCTGACGACGTGAAACTGCTTTCCTCCTTCATCTTGGCGAATTGACTTCGACAATTTGGTTACAGGATGCTCGTTAAAATTTGTGAAGTTAATTATAAAAAAAAGCTCGATGCGTTCTTTCTCAAGGAGGAAGTTATCCAATACCGAGTATTTCACACAATTCGATTCACAAAAGTTGTAGATCGATTCAGTGGTTCTATTTGACCAAAAATTCGCACATTGAGCTCTCTTTAAGTAGAGATAGGTCAGCGCTATGTTCCATTCATTGAGAACATATGGATCCTTACATTACAAAAAGGCTACACATCTATTCAATTAGACCAATATTTGAGTATGCCTCTGTGGTGGTCTCCTTCCTAAAGGTGTTATATAGATTCAATTCAATCCGTTCAAAAGTAATTTTTACTGGTTCCCCTTAAGAGCTTAGATTGGGACCCGCATGTCTCCCTGTCTCCTTATGGACATAGACTGCTTCTGTTAGCCTTATCGTCATGTGGGAAATACAGATTTCTTCTTTGTAATTCCTTCTTAATTAAGTTAGTTAATGGTAGTAGTATCCATTCGTCCATCTTACTTGGTGAGATATACTTTAATGCCCCTAAGGGCTTCTCTAGATACTTCATTGTCATTAGACTTAGTCAATGCAAATATAATTATGAGCTTTTCAATCCGTTCATTGTTGTTTGCAGGAACCTTAATGATGTCTACCACTTAATCTCAGTATCGGATTATTTAAATTTTATCAAAAATGCTGCGCTTAGTACGTGCGATTTACCTCAAGCTAACCTGCAATCTTAACATCTCACTATGATTTGAAAATTAACTGCTGTTGTTTACTGTTATCGGTTGCGGAGGTTTCGCATGTTTGCAGTGGTTTAGGGGTTTACTTGCAACTTGGATCTGTACTGGTTGTGGGTATGCCTCTATGCTAGCTGTGTACATGCTTTCTTTCTTTTCTCTTCTCTACTACTTATTTATTCATGAATTTTTTGTTTTTTCTTCACTTCTCTTCATATACTTTGTGTTAGTGTTCAATAATAATGAGATTTAGTTCTAAGAATTAATTGATTTCGGTTGTTAATCTATCTTAGCTAAGTTTTAAGTGCGATAAAAAAAAACAAATAAGAAAATTATATTCGACGGTGGCCGCGCTTCTCCCATTCTATTCTCCAAGTTGTTTTATTTGATATCCATATCGCTGGTATTATTAAGAAAAAAATAAGGATAAAACCTCAAAAAATTGAAAAAGAAAATAAAATTTGTGTGGGCGTGGCCGATTTTGTCCATTTTTGCAAGTAAAGAGCAGACTGTTTAGTAAAGTAAATTTCAGGTCTTTAACTTTTATAATTTCCGAGTAACGAGCAGAAAGCCACAAATTTTTGTTAAGAAAAACAGAGTTGCGTTCAGTTTACGATCTATTGCTAGCTTCTGTGCTAATCAATTTGGCCCATTTTCAATACCAACCTGGGCTTTAGAAACTTCCAATGTTTCTATCAAATTTGAAGCCAATATCTGCATTTTTGCGACCAGGAGTGTGCCGACACCACACGGCCACGCCGACGGCCATGCGGACACACATAGCTAAATCAACTCAGAATTTCACGCTGATCAAGAATATATGTACTTTGGCGGTTACATACGTTATGAAAAAAAAAAAAAAAAAACAACAATGACTATACCTCTATCTGGCAGTGGTGGGTATAACAAAAAAAAAAAGCGCGCAAAGATTATGGCTGAAGAATGTTACGAAAGATTTTATAGCTCAATTTTCATAAATACCCCTTAAGTAGTCAGCCTTATAAGTTATATCTTATAAGATTTTAGACTATGTGTCGATCTCTTTTTATAGCAGATTTACTTAATAAATACTTTATGGTGCTTATGTAAATGTCGAAAAGTAAGGCATTATTACATAAATATTCATGTGTGCACTCAAATAAATTAACTGTTTCATATATGTGAGACTTTAAAAAAATGTCTTCAATTTATTTAAAATGTGAATAAAGAAAAATTTACATATTGATAACCACATATATGAGCTGCAGCCTTTGCATAATCCTTCGAAGGATATATGTGTGTATATGAAATTTCAATGAAATTTAAAGGTAATTTATACCAAACTATTATTACTAGGTTAGGGTAGATTTTTAAAAGAAATTAAATATTTATAACTTAATTTTAAAAAGAAAATTTCAACTAAATTGGATTAATTAAATTTTAAAGTGCTTGCACATTAAGGTGAATATGCAGAGGAAACACTTAAATAAATTCAGATATCGTTAAAACTTTATGGTAAGTGATTAACTTATTATTATTATCAATACGAGTAATGAGTATGATCTAATGAAGAGATCGACGATCCGCGTCCATGACCATAAATATTGTGTACTATGGAGTTTTGTATCGTTAATTGATTTGCATAAGCTTTCGTGTGCAGAGCATTTTACATTTTTCCTACAACTGTACAAAACGTACATAATGTGCATAAGTTTGTTAGTTCTTTTTTTGATTAAATCCTAGCGTTTTACATACACGCTATATTGGCTGTTTTTCTCTTTTCATGCAATTTTTATGCGTTTATATGTGCAATAGGTAAGTGGTGGGTAGTAGGGGTGGCATCTGCTTGGAATGCTGGAGGAATTCTGAGAATATTCAAGTATTAAAATATTTACACACTTCCAACTTCTTGCTACAACGGGAAAATACATTTGAGCAGAGTAAGTCCATGCATGCGTGGATTCGTGAAATCTTTTTCACCACGTTGGTTGTTATTATTCGATTTTACTTTTTTTTTTTTATCTTTGTACGATTCACTTATGCAATTTCCGCTGCAAGGCGGTGATGTCTTCTTTTTTTTTTTCTTTCATTATAATTTTCACTATTTTCATGTATCGTGCATGTGTGTATATCGTCCTGACTGCTTTCTCGTTTTATTTATAATACAGGTAATGAAGTCGTTGGAGCCACATGTCAATGTTGTACGTTTTTTGGGCTGCTGTACTGATAAAGATCCAATTTTTGTGATAATCGAATACGTGAATCGGGGTAAATTACAAACTTATTTACGTAATTCTCGAGCCGAAAGGTACGTACATCTTTACGCATACAAATGCAATATAAGCATATGTACCTACTGTATTAATACAATTCTCTCGTTTTTCTTTTTCCCTTTGCATCGAAAATAAATATTTAATTTGCACACACATAACTTACGCACGTAGAATAAAAAAAAAAAAACAAAGTGATGTGTACATCTTGCAGTGAATTTAAAATTCCCATCATCGCAAGGAAATAAGAGTCGCCATGCGTTGTGGGCGGATTCGATTCTTCGAAACTATTTCAACTTTAAAATTTTTGCAAATTTCAGTTCAACTTTCGAATGATTTCTGTTAAGGCGCATAGCAAAAATTACTGGGGGTTTCGAAAACTCCTTTCTTTGAATTGTTTAGGCATTTAGAGAAAAATTAATGAAACGGAGACAGAGAGAGGCAAAGAGCTGAGGAAAAATTAGGGAAAGCGAAGAGTAGTCACGGAAAAGGGAAAACGGGGAAAAGATTTTCAAAAGTTTTTCCAAAATTATCTTTTCGAATTTCAAAATTTATTATTTATATATATACAAATAAAATATAAACTGGCGCCAAGCATACTGTGACGACAACCATAGAGAACACTTTATATCCTATTGAGAACGCTACTTCTCTTTCGAAGCGTACTATTTAGTGCCATACAGTCTGAGGATTTACGAATGTTAAGATTAGTCCGGTAAGGGGCGAGGTCATCGTAAATTTTTCAAAAAATCAGTTTTTTTTTTATTGAATTAAATGATTCCTTGATGAGATTAAGAATGATATAAAAAGACAATTGTGGGCGTGGTAAAATTTTAAATGGTCACAATATTGATTATAATGTTATAGCAGTACATAGGCACTGGATACTTTAAATGCGTTTCTCTCGAAGCGGGATTTTTCCAAACGGTCCACGAAAGAAATGCTACAGCTTTCCTTCTTTTCATGCAAATTGTCATACAACCTCTTTGAAATAACATTGGGTAAAGCAGTATGTAGGATTGCTTTTTTCGGTCGAAAATTGAGATATTTCGCTCAAGCACTCGCCAATTGCACGAAAATCGATACATTCCGCGCTTTATGGCATCGATCGAATCAGAATCATTTTCTGATCTAAGCTTGTCTGTCCGTCTGATATCGGTCTATGCATTTTTGTGTTCAATCTACGGCTCACAATTTTTGAGATATTATGATGAAATTTGGTAGACTCTGTTGTCTTTTGGGCAAGAACGAACGCTATTGATGATGGTTTGGATCGGAACACTTTTTCGACCACTTACCATCGAATAATGAAATTTCGACTTTCTAAATTGGTACGGAAAGCTTAGCTCCGAAGGCGCAATTACCTCAATGAACGGCAAGAAAGTCTAATTTCAAATATTTCATCCTTACCTAATTTAAAGCACTTAGGCCTTTACCGCGTATAACAGGAAATGTAAACTGTTACATGCCACAAAGGCCGTATTATTAATGGTTCATGATGAAAATCTGTTTATAAGAGTAGCCTGACTTTAAAATTGGATAGACCAAATTTGACCTACACGGATCTATTTCTTGAATGAATGAATAGTCAGTCGTTTAGAAAAACGTTTAACTTTAAATCATTTATTATGAAAATTGGTCCATAGTAGCAAGTTAGCAAAAAAAATTTACGGTACAGGATTTGGTTCCTATAGGTCTATTTTTTAGAGTCTAACATATATAGTGATTATCAATAAAAGCAAGCCCTTATATGGAGGGAGAGTAAAATGGATGTAGTAATGTGATGCTTTGAACATCCTCCAATATGCGGACTTTCACGAATATAATGCGTGCGCTGAATAATTGTACTAGGCGAAGTGCTATCTGTTGTTCGGCCCTGCCCGACTATAACAGCTTTAACTGTTTTTCATATAGCAACTTTTCAAAATAATGGAAGCTGTCAAAAACCTTGGCTGCGCCAGGCGATTTTCCATAGCGTTCATCCATGGACCATAACTTGTCGATATCTCGAAAACATGTAGGCTGGCTACAAAGATACGTGAGACGCGTAGAATGACATATATACTTAGGCATAGTAAAATAAAAGAAGAGTTTATCTCAAATCTCAACAAATTTAATGCATCCGGTATCACAAATGTCTTAGGGTATAAAAATCGTACGTACTACTGCAGCTGTAAACAGGTACATTAGATGAGTTTTATTTGTCCTTTTTTCTTACATTCAAATTTGCTCCAAAATAGGCCTAGACCGTAGTCCTCTGCCGACGGGGTTGTCATTTTTTAATATTCTGCGAAAATAATTTATTTTCTAATGCTCAGCAGTACGCATGGTATACTTAATAATCGCCGCAAAAATGATTATTCTATTACGTTTCTTGCTACATCAAAAGATTGTCAATAATGCTCTTTTTTTAGGCTGTCACTGTTGCGTTATAAACAGCATAATAAATCTTGTTTGATACATATTTACGTAACACATCGCTCAATAAGTGGGTAGGATGATATATAAAGATCGCAAACTCGTGTGATTTTTAAATAATTCTAATCTTTGAAGGAAATTTATCAAAATGTTATGATATTGCAACCGCTGATGTATAAGATCCGATGTTGTAGTGTCACTACACCTTTGTTTGCATTAAACATTGGAAAAATCCGAATTTCGCGTGTAGCGCACTTGCAAAGCAACGCACACGCGTTTAACACATTTGAATATTTGTGCTATCTAAGAATAGTGTAGATTCGTCAGTGGTCATCGTACGAAAATTATTGAGAGATGTGTTGTATATACTGTGACGAAATTTTAGATAAAACAAGCCAAAACAATATGGTGGGCCGCGGTCGAAGAAATCAACCCATCCGAACTATTATCTCAAAAGTTAGTTGAAGACAAGAAGAAGCACGGATAGGCAAACTTAAATCGATTTCGAAAGTCATTCGGTCATTTGATTTAATAAAAGTTGGGCTTGGTGGTGGGTGCGGCATACATCCGCACAACCTTATCACTCCCTTGCACCGCAAGTAGTGTAGGGTATAAAAGTACATTATTTTGCGATAACAATAATTAGTATCTATAAGAATAACGAAGAAGCGTTGCGAATATAAATCTCGACAGAGTAGAATTTTGGGAAGAAATACTCCGAACATCAAAGAAAGATAAAAAGTAAAAGCGTTACATACGAAGACTTAGTGAGTGCACAGTTTCTTTGCTGTCACTAAGCAAGGGAAATAGCTTTCTTTCACCCGATTTTCTGGAATGCGAGAAATAAGTATGCCGTCTATATGAAAATAGATGAGAAGAGATACTTAAAAATGTTTCTTAGGACACTTTAAAAGTTCTCTATGCAGTTCAGAGTCATTTCACTAGATTTAATTATAAGTTGAAGAGCTTGTTAAATCTGCACGAAAATGAATGATATGTACTTAGCCTTCAGTGGAATTAATCTGTTTCTTAAATAGAATATGAATTTTTGCCATTTCAAGCAATTACTGAAATATTTTGAAATTTTCCAAACATTTGCCTTTGCTGCTTCTCAATTTCGGCATCCATACAAACATGTAAACATATATGAGGGCACATACGATTGCGTTTGTTGTTTTTGCCAAAAATTTCTCTGTTACTAATGCTATTAAAATGTTTTTAACATTTTTCTACAGCAAAATATCCTTCAAACTGAATTTTTAACGTACGTATGCACATTGAAATGAGAAAGAAACTCAAATCTATTTAAATATTTAAAGGCAATGTTTCTGAGTAAGCATGCATGTATTGCTCGGTGTATTTATATTACGTTATATTACGTTTTGAATTCCAACTGGGTCTAGGACAACGTGCATGTTAAGCATGTTTGAGTGGCAAATATGAGTTAATGTTGATGCGCATTCATGCATGCGTATGTAAATCTGCAAAAAGCAAAAAAAAAAAAGGTTAAATGCTCAGGGATTTTAACGCCTGCAATGATTTCGAGAATAATTTTTCTCCTTTTTGTTCCATAGTTGGCTTGTACGATGATGGCCAAGCAAAGCAATAAAAAAAAAAGAAAGAGAAAAGAAAAATCACATTCATGAAGTTTGAAACATCATAATAAATAATCAAGAAAGTATTTTATTATAAACTCCATATAAAAATATGAATTTTGTCATTCTTTCGTAACACCTGAGAATATATGTAAGGAATTCAAGATGCTGTATATGTATAATGCCTTGATGTGTGTGACATTTTGAGTCCATTTACGTATGTTCGTTTGGCCATCCACCATCCCTACATCTGCAGATGTCCTTTTACGAATGTGTAGTCATGTAACCAGCTGTGTCATCTGTAATGCGAACCCCTTAAGCTCAAAGGTATTAAGTTCGAAGGATGAAAGTTAATCTTATTGGTACAGTTCTTCTAGCAATTCTACAAATTTAGTTTAACAGCAAATATGATCCGCCAGAAGCTCAAATTTCAAAAACTACCTTACCCAGGAGTGAGTCTGCCTTAGCAGATAAAATTTGACTTGAAATAAGCTCCGATTGAATTGATAATTTTTGAAATCAGCAATCGCTTCGGAGGGTATGCTCCCTATAAGTGATGGTCAGAAAACAGTGGGGAAGTAGCTATGAGCAGCGCGATGAGAGACGCGTGTTGTATTGGGTAAATATTCGCTTTCCCTATGGCCCCAAACCAATCGTAATTAAAGTACGAAGCACATTATTTCGTCGCGACGCTTAAATTCGGTTTTTCATTATTGGAACTCGCCCAGACGTAACCTATAGGAAGCGAAAGAAGGCGTCGCTTTCGGGACGAAGAAATTCGTTAAGATCAAATTTTTTTTAGAATAATCTGTTTTTCCAATAATTTTTATACGAAACTATCGCGAAAGCTTTCTTCTCAGGAATGAAGTGACGTGGAGAAGGTTTCACTTTCATTTACGCCACTTGCGGTACAATGGTATATTAAATTTCTGCGGACATTTAGAACACTCATAGAATCATTTTTCGTCATCTTCTGAATCAGAATTATTCCTCGAATTGATCTAAGCTGGTCTGCCATCTGCCCCTTTATCTGTCTTTTGTTTCTTGTGTTCAACCTATAGGTTGCCATCTTTGAGATATTTTGATGAAATTGATCGTCAGAGGTGTTTTGGCCCAAGGATGAACTGTGTTGAAAATGGTTCGGATTGGACCACTTTTTCGACCACTTCCCATATGACATCTGACTTTGAAAAGTCGATATGTGGATAAATGCAGCATCTGAAGGTGGGCCGCGCCCCGTTATAAAGTTTTCGCTTGTTTTAAATTCTTCAACCTGAGTTATCTTCACTGAAAATTGTAGAAAGGGCCGAAATATAAACCGAAGTTTAAACTATAATCAACTAGTTAGTCAGAGGCAAATAGATGTTAACCTCCGATCGTGCAAGTGGCTATTGTTTGGTTCAAAATCACAAGTGATTAACTTTTCAACAATTAAGTAAAACGTGTTCAAGTTCGTGCAATTTCCTCAGCGACTCCTCGGAGAGAATAATAGTTTTCTTTTTTAGTTTTTCCAATATTTTTCTGTTTTTCTACTCATTTAACATTCTACGTATGTAGCGCAGCACTCGATAGAAAGTCAAGATATTCATAGAGGAGTAATGGAAACGTTTTAAAATAGTTTCTCAAATATAAACACACACGTGCACGCACAATCACATAGCCACCCACACACACACATACACATACACACACACATGCATACAGGCAAAAATACTTATATTACGGTGATAAGGAAATGTAGAGAAAAAAAACGATATTTTAAATTGAAGAAAATTCAATTGAACTTTAGCTGAAATTCAATTCAATTTATATCAGTCACATTTTCGATATCTTAGACGCACCAGCTATGCTCGTACACACGGCTACTCTTTCTTAGTGCTTACTGATCTACCTTTGGATTGGTGTGTTGTGTATATAATATTTAATGTATTTTTATTATATTTTTATACACTTTTCTTATGTATTTGCTTTGCTACGTTTTCTTGCTTCCGCAATGTTCACTTCATCATCACTATTACATAGTTTAAGCATATATGTACTTATGTATGTATGTATGTATGTATGTGTGTATGTATGTAAGGTAACTGACTGTTAGTATTTTATATTGCAGGCATTACGGCAATACACACGGAAAATCGAATATCCTGACGTCAGGCGATTTAACATCATTCATGTATCAGGTTGCAAAGGGTATGGATTATCTAACATCAAGAGGGGTAAGTAATATAGGAAGCAATCTTTTCTGTTTGTAGAATGGTATATGTCTAGTTCCAGAAATGATGACTTTACTGACTTGTACAAGAAAATGGATTGATTGTTAAAGTGGAGCAATACCGCCATAAGAAAACGGGAACGTGATTAAATGAATTTTCTGGATCGCAGTCGTTAATGATTTCTAGTTAGCGTTCCAGCTATAGCTGGCAAAGGTCAATATTCAATTAATCCGCTATTAAACTTATACGAAAGCGAAGCAAATATGATTTAAACTTCTTAATAATCAGAATTCTTTATAATTGGCCTTACGAAGACTCAGTCGAACATTTACCTGCTTCCTCCTGTACATTCAAAATACATATATATATCTTAATATACGAAGAAATCTATATAGATTACTTATTTAATATATCTTTATATACATACAGTCAGCAAAAATGTTCGGTACGTGTCTGTCCCCTCCTTCATACTTCAAATGAATTTTTATTAAGCCCAATATGTGTCCTTTTAATCGAAAAGCTTCTGCCATTTTACTGTTGATCTGACTGTTATTCAAAACGTCTACCATTTTACGGTAAGAAATTGAACAAAGTCGTTTTTATTCACCTTTTTTGATGCTTTCCTCTTCACACCGTTTAAATTGCTCAGTTGCGACCAAAACAAATGGTCGTGAAATGAGCTAAGATCCGTGTCGTGTTATGAATTAATCATAACTTCCTAGCTAACGCTCTTTAGTAATTTGCGGAGTCATCAAAAATGTCTATGCTCTGGCTTGCACTGGCGTGACGCAAGACGAGGCCGTTTCGATTGACCGATTCCCGAAGCCTTATCTTAATTACACTCCTTAGTCACATAAACTGGTGACAATAGAATGGGTAATTAATCGTTTGGTAAGCCTAGATCAGCAGGAGAAGGTCTTTTCAATTGATCAATTCCGCAGAGCGTACCTTAATTGCACGTTTTAACCGCATCAATTGGCGACAGTAGATGATGAACTCACATCGCATGTTCGGTTAGGTTGGACCAGTTAACAACGAACGAGTCCTTTCCAATTCCAGCCAAACAAAAAACGTTACCTTACGTTATACGAAAAACCTGGCTTCGCGACTCTCTGTGCATCTCCGTGCTCTTGGGACCACGATCGTTTTTTTTTTTTGATCAAATATAACCAAGCTCTTCAAAAATACCTCGTTTTCGTTTCTTCTCCGCGAGCATCAACAAGTCGAGTAAACATTTCACTATGCAATATGCCGATCTTCCGCGATTTTTTCGAAGCTATCGTTAACTTCATCAGCGAATAGCCGACTAGAGCACGGCGTCAAAAGATGTTAAGGCGTATTCACCGTAAATATCATAAAACTAACGAAGCGTGATCGCTTCAGTGCTACTAATATTGTATTGTAAAACAAAATTAATTTCTTTTTAGAAGTTTCCCTCATTTCCAAAGCACACAGTCACTTTCGATAGAATTAACAAACGGCATATGGACTTGTTGTTTTCTGCCATGCGACACTCGCCCTCGAGGGTTGCACGACTCTAAAGCTATTCATTGGGTAAGACAGTGCAAACTGTTTCCTTGACCTTATTATAAGCGAGTTGCGTGTCGTAACGTGCAAAAAAAAAACTTGATTTACGCCACTTTCCAAAAATACGGCTCACATAAAGTACATACGGGTATACCGGTATTATTCCCTTGTGCGGAAAAGTCTTTTACTAGTGGATATATTTTGTAAGTAAAAGCAAATACGTGCTCATAAACGTTATACTATATCCACACATGTCCCGTTTTACAAGTCTTTTTTTTGTTTGTTTTTTTTTTAGACGAATACATACAAGCAAATGCATGCAATGATTAGATTCACTAATACATACACGCATGCATACATACATAGATGCATATCCATATACATGAATATATAACAATAACGTATCAAGTATGAGTTTAAAGCACATTTACAATACATAGTTTATAGTTTATTGTTTTTGTATATATAGTCAACTTGCACTGACAACAATCAACAATTCTACAAAATTGTCTTCAACCTTTTTAGGCCAATGAATACCTAACTAGCAGTAGCAATAGAAATTTTATCACAATATATTCTTATATTGTGTGTGATACACATACCTACGTATATATATATATGTATACGTACATATATATGTATTAGGTTATGTAAGCACTTTATGCAGCCATTAAATTGAAAACGAACTTGAAAGCAAACAGTTTACATTCTGCCATCGAGCTTCGAGGAGAGTGAGAGCAGCTTGTTGTAGTGTGATGGGTTATGTATCTGATACTCGAATTCATATTTTATCAATGAAATCATTAAAGGAAATTGTGAATTGCTATTTAAACACTTTAATAGCTTTTATCAGTCAGTCCATCCATTGATAACCAATCAACCAACAACAACAACCAGCATTGTTATTACTTCGCATCATAGCTAGCTATTTTTCTCTCATTTTGTCCTTCACATACATTTTTCGACTTGGACAAGTACTAGTATGTATGTAGTATACATACTCGACAGTTAATTTTTACGATGTAAAACAAACGGATGTGCACTCAATTCAAAATCATAGAAATGGTAGTGATCGGTTCGATAGTCTCTTAATAAATAAATGATGAACGTTTTACGTGACATTTATGTATGTATGTATGCAATTTGATATGTTTTCCTTGAAGCCTAGAGACAATCGATAATTGTTCATAGCATGAAGATGGCATTATGTGACCTTACAGAACAACCGGGAGCCTATACTATTAACTGGAAACAAACAGCTCAGTATCATTTATCTTAGGATGGCTAATACCTGCTTTTCTGTTTTCTTTTTTTACATGGTTTTCTAAAGCTTGGAATAGCACGTGAATGGGAGAAGAGGGGCAGGGCAGGTAGAATAGTCAGTACAATAGGAAAACTAAACTAAGCAAGTGTGGTATACTTCCATTAGTTGGGATTTTGTATAAATGTGAAATCCCGCCCACTTTTTTATACGCTTGATTTCAATCTCCCAAAATTCACTGAGCGGAAGCGGTCAGCTCTTGCTCGGGGGCGTGTAGCGCACATTTCAGATGCTAGCATATGTGCTGGAAGTATGTCGAGCACTCTCAACACTCTTCCGCACCGGGTTCTGTTCCTCTTCTGTCCTGTTCTTTTAGCGGTAACTTTTCCAAAGTCTTAAAAAAAAAAAAGAAATCTTTCTCAGCGTTATCAACTATTTGTCCCAAGGCTACTCGTACACTGCATGACACACTGCCAAAATTTTTCCCGCCTTAATGGCGCCGCCACCCACCTTCGGAACAATAAAAGTCTTTAACACCCTTATTAATGTTCCGCATTTCTGATATGAGCTCTTTGTGATAGCCTTGAGTTCCTCCACCGCTGCGGTCAATATCTCCGTTTCGTTTCATGCCCAAAACATCCCAAAAAATTGCCGGCCATGAGCCAATCGATATGCTACCATCCTCAGCAACTTCTTTAATAGTGTCTCGACAGTTCTCCATAAGAATTTTCTTCACTGCTTCAGGGTTTTCAGCGATTGTTGACTGACTTCTGTGCTTCTATTACATTTAAACATTTTCGGTGGTGAAGGCGTACTCGCCAAATGCTACAATCAGCATTCTAAGTTTAATTTTATTTTTCACACAAAACTTAAAAGAAATCGTTTAATGCTGTTTTCGATAGCAAAAAATCGTCAAACTAAACACATCTAACCTTTACATCTGCAAAAGACGAAGTAAACGCGCAAAATGGCTGACAATGTTAACATATGTTGGGGACATGTGTTCCAAATTAAAAAAAAAAAAATAAAAATAAAAATAAAAAAAAAACTCGAAAATCAACAATCGAATGTGCATAGCGCTTGAAATTTGAAGAGTCACTTTTCTTGTAGACATCCCATTACATCTTTGTTTACTTATTCTCGACTTGAAGTTAACTTACTAAGATTTATGTTTGATTTGCTGGTTAAGAAATTGCTTGTATAAGTTTTGCTAGATATGGGAAATTGTAACTCTCTGATTAGAAATTTCTTTAGCATAAAGTAATAGAAACTGTTGGGTTATGTAGTTGACTTAGGATGATTGAAAGCGATATCACGTCGCTACATTCATTTTCTTTTATACATATCGGATGAGTTTAGCTTACTTCAGCAGGGATTATATTAAATTTTTGTAAGAATTGTTTTAAACAAAGCTTTTTTGTATTCCTCTTAATTGATCTGATTTTCTTTTTTTTTTTTTTTTTTTTTGGCTTCAGATTATCCACAGAGACTTGGCGGCTCGTAATATATTAATAACGGACGATCACACCTGCAAAGTCGCCGATTTTGGTTTCGCACGTGATGTGATTACATCAAAAATTTACGAACGCAAAAGTGAAGGCAGATTGCCAATCAGGTATGTAAATGAAGATTTCATCCAAACAAAAAAATTTTCACGAAAACTTATGCAGTGCGTAAGAAAAATGAAAAGCAAGAATAAAAAAAAAAAACAAGAAAAAAAAAGAGAAGCAAAAGCAAAGCACATAAAGCAATCAAAGAGTAAATGCCAAAGGAAAGCTAAACCAGGCAACAATTAGTAACGAATGAAATGAAACACGATACAAAAACGATGCCAAGCATACGGTGAAGCTCCTAAGCAACAGATATTGTTACAATTTCCTTAGAAAATGTGCATCGCAAACATATTTGTCCACTTTGCTTTAAACGGTAATAATCACATTCTTCTTTCTTTCGTGCCCTCTTGAATAATTGATGTAGTTGTGTTTACAAACTTTGCGGTGGGTTGGTACAGGATATACTAAGTTTAGCCAGAAGTAGGTAACAAGCAGAAGGGTGACTCACCTTTTATTATACTTAATTTGTCCGTCCGTCTGATGTCTACAGCTCGCAATTTTTAAGATACGTTGATGAAATTCGGTACACTCACATGCCTTGACTCAAGGACGAACGCTGTTGCCAATGGCTTGAATCAGTCCACTTTTTCGATCACGCCCCATATAACTCCATATGGAAAAGTCGTTATGTGGAAAAATAAAATTTTCAAAATTGCTCAACAAAAGTGTCTACGGAATAGTATTTCGGCTTTCTTCGGACCGGTTGGATCAATTTTTTGAACACCCTCGCATATAAAGAAAACTGAAGCTCAAAAAGATCTAATTTCCAATGCTTCATCGGTTTATTATAAAAATTTAAGATAAAAAAGTTAACTTTACCAAATTTGAATTATCCCGGCCTATTTCTGGGATCATATCCTATACATAGATTTTCACGAAAATTGATACTTTATAAGGCAGAAAAATCTACATTTTAATATGATATGAACAAACGCAATGCATAATAGTAATTTAAGAAAAAAAAAAAGTCACCAAATTTACATCGCTCACGCCTACTTTTTGATCCTACCGTATATAAGGATTTGATTGAAAATCTTGGTTTTTTAGTGCAGAACAGACCAATATTTCATATTTTATGGTGAAAACTGATCTTCAATAGTAGTTTGATATAAAAATTTGAATTTAGAATACGTACCAAAAATTTGCAATCTTTTGGGCAGAACCATTCCTACGGAAACCAAACTCTTAAGTTTTAATACACAGTTCTATAATTATAAGGTCATACAAAAACAGGGTATAATTTTTGTGTTATATGGCAAAAATAAGTATTGTATTAGACAACGTGTCGGCCTAGACCGACTATAATGTTTTCACTTGCTTTTTTTATATGGGAGAAAGCATAATATTTTTTCTATATCGCAAGAAATACTGGAGTCTCGCAAAGCTTAATATATATTACGCCAAAAATTCTATTTCACCTCAGAGCGGATTATAACCAAAGTTATTGCGCTGCACTTACCAAAGAGATAGCCTATGTTCTGGATATTAGCAAGTCCAACCGACTATAGGTGTTAGTAGAAGAGAATATTCAGCGCTTCTACGCCCAATAAGGCTACTGTTATTTCTTTCAACTGCTAACGCACTTATGTTGTCAATAATAGAAAAATAACAGATGATTCTAACCGGTAAAGTCTTTGCTTCCTTTGCTTGAGCAAAGTTCTCTCTTCTCTGATAAATGAGAAATACCTAGCTTTGTATGGCAAGTAATAATTTGGCAAAGCAATTTCTATGGCAGTTTTTCTTCTCCCAAAACGATCAGAATGGTTTATCGACGCGTAGGCAACTATCACCCTTGATAACTAAGATCTACTTTGGAACGCATATTAAGGCGCTAATATGCAGAGAGTCCATCGCCCACAAAATGTTCAAAAGTTACGGGAGTTTGCCGCAGACAAATGAACATAAATGAATGCAAGCGGAGTTCCCTCCTAAGAAACTTGCTGAAAAAGAAAAAATTAGGTTACAAAAAAAATAAAAATAATGGCATGCTCGACTACAAATATCTATCTATCTATAACGTCAAAATTTCAAACCTTGTTCTCAGAAATGTTCGTGAAATAATGTTTTTTTTTTTTGTCCTGAAAGCAGCTTACATAACGTAGCTTATAAGAAGATAAGAAGCGCTATCATCGTGTATATAAAGGTTACGCAAGACAGCGTTTATGATGGTTACGTACTCTACATTACGTGTCTGGCGTTGCCATGTTTGCATTTCTGTATAAATTCTGTGCAAATTATCAAAAATATGTTTTTTTTTTTTTTTCTTTTGGTTTAGTTACATAATATTTTGTTCATTTGAGTAATGAGAGGTAATTGTATCTTTGCATTTAGCAAATATATTATAAAAGAACATTTGTGTGAACCGAGACGACACCGTCTTCTGTACTGCGAAATTTTGAAATAAAATTCAATTGGAACGAAGAAGAGAAATAAAACCATTTTAAGTGCAGACGACATTAATAACGGCTATGTTTGTGTGTACCGTCAAACAAGTTGTAAATTAGCGAAACGAAACTTTGCCTCCATTCTTGGCCGCCAAAAGCAAGTAGTAACAAGAAATTGAGAGAGGCGTGAGGCGAGAGGAAAGAAAAGTAACTAAGCTATTATTACGACACATATTTTGTAACATTTGCGCTTTTAAAGTCTTGCATTTTCGATGTTCTCTGTTACTGAGCCAAGAGCACAAATTCGTTTAGCAAAATTTCACTGCTAAGCAATAAAGGGTTATTGAGCTGTTAATGGCAGAATAACGAAGCCGGTAAATGGGAAAAACTCTTCTCTAAATTACAACAAATTCCCTGCTCTTTACGCGCTTAAGGCGGCGGCCGCAGAGGAGGAGGATAAAAAACCTAATTTATTGGGCATTTTTTTTGTTTTTTTTTTTTATTTTTCAGTTTTATTTTATTGCCGCCATTTACTTACCAGTGAAAATGGCTGAATATGACTTGAAAGTAGCATCAGTTTGGCCAAAAATGCAATGAAAGTTTTTCATGGTCATAGCGAAAGTTAGTGTTTAAAAAACATAACAGAAGAAAAGAATAGAAATGAAAACAAATAATTTCGAAATGAAAGATTTGTGTTTTGCGTTGTTTGCGAAACGAAGCGCTTTTGCGTGTTATTAAAACATTTAAAATTTTATTATTTAGATAAAAATATAGCTAATCTCTTTAATATCCTCTGCCAGAGTGTCGCTATCAAATATCACAATAGCTATAACAGTCGCTTGTCATTCACTTTTAAACTCAACGAAGATGAAAAAAATCTAATTTTTGATATTAACGCTAAGACAACAACTTTTTTGAACTTTTATTTCTTACGTAACATTAAGTTCTATTTAAACTTTATTAGCGTATTTGTTTTTATGGTTATTCAGATTTAACCGAAATTCGTTTTGCATATAAAAACAATTTTTGTTTCGGTTTTAATAAAACAACAACAAAGAAAACAACTAAACAAGTTTTTAGACGAGTCTTGATTATACCGGAACACTACACAGCTTTTCATTAACTCTTATGTTATGTGGGATTATTTTCTCTGCGGCTTTAATAATTATTTGTGCTTAGCAGGTCTTAGCAGTTTTTTATTTACTATAATTGACGAAAAAGTTTTTTGCTTCGAGAATATTTAAATTTGCTTGCATCAATTTTCCAACCCCTGATCTGAAAGACTCTACAGCTTTCAATTTTCATTTGTGTGAGAAAAAGAGAATGAAGGACCTTGCAACAGATGAATCAACCTGTTGTATAATGCGTACTACATAGGTTGAATAAAAAGTAGGTGTGCGGGTATTTTATAGGAAGATAAGTATTCACTTGTGCTAAAGTGTTTTAGTTTGCTCCGTAACATTTTATTCTTTAAGTTTCAAAATAAGCATCCAGCCGGGGAAAGTCAAATGGATGATTAGAACAGATGTTTAGGTTACACTTAGTTCAACTGAGTGAGTCTTTCGGGTGAAGTGATTGCTTTATCATTTAACCAATCGCATTATAGAAGCTTGATCTTACGCCCTTTTCTGGCTGGAATAGTAGGATCGATAACATCAAAGAAATTCAGATAGGATCCATAATTAATGCTCACTCTCGATTTGAAATAGTCGAACAGGCAGAACAGGCAGATCAGGAATTGACCCTTCGGATGCTAAAATATGGGCCTACGGTGGCTTATGCTTGTCTCAATGGCCAATTATCAGATACTGTTATACTCTTTGCCCCATTCACCTAAAGTTTTTTGAACATCATCATCTGTGTCCTTTGGAGGACATATTGTTCGTATATTTTAGACTCAGAAAAATTTTGACCTAGGACTCTTCAACAAGCAAACTATCGTCGCTTTCAATAATCTTAGATGAACCTGCTTTCCTTCTAGTCACCCTTTCGGTTTCTGTATCATTGCTTGTTCACTTGCTCACTTTCGTATATATAGGGTGTTCTTGCTTGTTTTTTCTTTTTTAATTTCATGTTTGATCTTGTCGATAAATAAACAATTCAACTTCTTATGAAGAAATTCATGCCGATTATTTGAATTGTCGAATCGAATTGCGTTGTGGTCTTGAAACTGGACCTGAACACCATAACTTCAATATGTGTGGATGTTAGGATATATTGAGGAGTGCGATCATTTCATCAATGTCTTGATTCATAACCAAAACTTACTCATTCAAGAAATGAAAGCGTTACATGCAACGGTACAATGCCCACAAAAACTGACATTTTTATTGTCACAAGTTGTCTTACTTTTTTCTCAATGAGACCGATCCACCATAACCGTACATACGACTAACAATCGGCGCCTTTCATAGAAAACTTATGCACAAACTTTGAGTCACAAGTGCGTGACGCGCGACTCGAACGGTGAAAAATTTTAACTTCACTAGGGTTTCTTTAAAGCTATTTGCATTTTTGTACACAAATAAAATACAAAAATAAACGTCAGTTTTAAAGTGAAAAACTTATTCAGAAATCAAAAATGTGTGAAAATTCTGGCTAACAGCTGGTCAATGAGA